TAATGTGTCGTCAAAAATAGAATACTTAAAGAATTAAACAGTTGAGATAGAGTTCGTTATTTAATGGTTTCAAAATTAGCAGTATATTCAGTGTTTAAGTAAAGTTAAAAAAAAAAATGGCTCTATACAGAGTGTAATTTTTACATTTTTATGTTTGTTTTCCAAAATTATCTCCACAATGTGTTTTTAAATTAATCGATTCAAATGTATGTTTGAAAATTATTCATAAATAAGTGTATATAATATATAAAGAAAATAGGCTCAATAGGATTTTATTTTAGAATTTTATTGGTATTGAATTAAAAACTAATTTCATCGAACTAGCTTTACTTTTATAAAAGTAAACATATTGAAATAATTTTTTTTTTGTAAATAGTTCATTTACCTGCTTACATTTTAATTGTTGAATTATATAAAATATATAATTCCGTCTAATAAATCTATAATAATTAATACACTCAATATATTGGACGTATCGGTTATTAAAAATAAATAGACAAGGATGCTTAATTAAAAAATAAGGATTTTTTAAATTAAAGTTAGATTGAATTATAAGATATATATTTTTTAGTCCGTTTATTCAATTATAAGTATAATTTTTACTATGTTAATTATTTCAACAATATTGTTTCCGTTATTTCACTCATACGAGAGAATAACATCAAACTGCAAATATTATTATGCCTACACGAAGTATTTGCATTTTTTTCAATACATTTTTTTGGCAATTTTAATTAGACGATTGAAATAAAAGTATTGCAATTGGCTTTGACTATGTGAATCTTATTGTGAATTAATAGATGTATGATTATTATGTAACATTGCACTTAAAAAAAAAACACATAGTATTATTATTAAAACTTGTTTATTAAAGATTAAATAGAATAGAAAACAACTTGAATATTATTTTAGAGTTGTCCTTGCGTTGTCATTTTCCAGGTTAATAATTTAAGCCTATTTACAATTGGACGGAAAATTACTAGAGCATTGTGTGAAGTTGGAACTGTTGCGTATTAAAAAAATATATATAAATGGTGCCCTAATGGTTCTATGTGTTTTATATGTTCGAATTTGAACACAGTAGATAAAGATAGAAATTCATTGTTATTATATTAATGTGTTGAAACGACTGTTGTGCGATTGTTTTTTTTTCTCCGCATTAAAATAAACTATACGAGCACTGACCACCATACACAGTTAACGATCGACTTTTATTAATTGTATTAGCTAACGTTTGTGATTTTTTTTTTTTAAACTGTCCACCTACATGATACATGTTGTGCTCCTAGCAGGTGTGTTGCTCCTATTAGCCTAATGATCAGCGTTTTTCAACAGTAGTAGTATACAAATATATAATATAAAAAAACACGTGTGCTGTAAAATAATTTATTCTACGACACCTAATAGTCAGAACAACGTAAATACACATTGCGTTTCGATTTTAGTTCTACTTATTTTTAAACAACAGTTTAACAAATATTCAAATATATGTATTACGCGCAAAAACAGATTAATAGTAATTTAATGTCTAATATATAAATTAAAGTAAATAATATTTTATAATCAAACATAACCACACGAATTACATTAATTTAGAAATAGTATTAAGTGCACTTAATTGAAGATTTGAATAAGATATGTAAAAATAAAAAATAATACAATATTTTAAGTATAATTATTGACGCAGGCAATTTTTAACGTCTATAGAGTCTCGAGTACGACAAACAAATTGTTTGCATTTAGTTTACGTATTTAAGTAATATTGTATGTACATTCGAAACGATCGTTTTCTTTTAATGTTCCTTAAAATGTTCTGTTTGTGATATAGCAAACTCGAACCTTGATACAAAAAACAATGTAACATTAAGATTATTATCTACTCTCGTTGCTGAATAAAAAAGCTATTTAAACCAATTGAAATACTTAATTATATTAATAAAGTATTTCTACGTCACCTAGTAGTCTTAATGTAATGAAAAATAAACTTAGGCGTAGAATAATCCTCTCGTTTATATTTTATCTAAATTAAGTAATTATAATAGTAAAAACATGTTTTCTTGTACAACATTCTCAAGGGAATAGAACAAATTACAATTAGTTTATAGTCTAGTCATGATAAAAATAATTTCCCGATAAAATCCATTCAAAGATAAACGATTAATTAAAAAAAAAAAAAAAAAATTATAAACCAATTAAACCTAAAGCCTTTTATGATAGACTAATATATTGATACAACTAATCAACTATATGCGTTTGTTTACGGTAAGTATATGTGCTTATAATATGCCTTTGTTTGAATTAATGAATAAAATCTTTTTTAGTAGGTCAGGTCTTCCGATTGCAGTATATTAACACCTAATTACATAAAAATTGTTCTTATATTAAAAAAAAAAAGTTGTGTTTTAAAATTGGAAGTCATTGATAGGGTAATGAATGAATTCAAAATAAAATAAGACAATTTTAAATGATTTCTTGACCAACCATCCTTGAAAAAATTCTAATCAAAAAATTTTTTAGCAGTTACCCGATTTATTAGTACCGTCAATTGGGCCAACTTCGGACGGTATTTAAGTGTTGTTAAGAAACAAAAAATATGTGTAAAATGTTTAACTGTCCCAAATTTACAGTTGGCTTATTTGACGTTATGTAAAGCATTGTTTAGTTAATAAATTGTAACTCGAATCAATATTCATAATTAGCTATCAAAATTTAAAATTAATCTAATGACTTGATATTTAAAAAATATATTATTCAAATTTAATTGTCATAAGAATATGTACCAATAAAATCAACAAAACTGTCATTTTGAAAAGAAAGTCAATTTTCGTTAACGATTAAATACATTAACAATAGTTAAGTAAATTTAAAAAATCGATTACTATGAAAAAAATTATTAATGAATAATTTATTTTTAAATCAAAAATGTATTTAAAATATTAATTTAAAACTAAAAAAATATAAACTCAAAAAGCTACAAAAAGTACTACAAATTCGCGGTTACATATATTGAGAACAATTTTATAATTATCAATGCCAAACACATATGTTATTAATTTATGTTTGAATGTTTTTAAAAACGTAATAGGTAGGTATGCTCAATATAATTTTAAAATGATAAAAATAACACTTTCAAATTATTTCTGTTTTTTCGTAATTTTTTGCTGCTAAATAATTATAGACAGGAGTAATCCTAGAAATAATTTTTTTAAGCTATGTAATACATTTTGCTGACTAAATTATCTTAACGAGTAGAAAGTTCCATATTATATTTTTAATGTACATTAATAACTAAAATGAACATTTTGAGAGTATCACACCTCCTATAACATCGTTCCTGAATTTAAAGAAAACTATTTTTTATTATTTCTAATACTGATGTGACAAAATGTTCAAAATCGATTTTAGGGAATTATCTAAAATCAATAATTTAAAATAGTATACGAGTAATCTATGTTAGATTTACATAAAATTACTTGATATAAAATATTAATTAATATGAACTTATAAAATATAAATGATGTGACAATGAGAAAATATTCCAAATCATTTTCAACAATCTTTTCATTTTAATATTGTATCAAAGGTCATAGCATAGAATTTTGTTATATTATGAACAATTTATTTAATGTTAAAAAAAAAAAAAAAACTTTTATTGCTTTATAAACATTGTAAGTGGTTCTTTTATAACGAATTTTACTATGATATTTAATAAATAAGTATAAATATAATATAAAGTTTACTTAATATAAATCGTTTCAGGATGTTTATTTTCAATGTTTAATGTAAATCTTAATGTAGTGATTATAATAAAAAATATATATATTTTTTTATGTTTATGAATAACAATTTATAATAAATATGCACTAACTAAAGGAATCAAAAATTTAAAGTGTTTTTTGTTTTATATTAGTTATTATATCATGATGTAATAAATGTATTTAAAAGCTATTACACTAATGCGTTTCAAAATAACCTAAACAATTTGTGAAAATCCTATTTAATTTAAAATAAAAATAATATTAAAAAAATAATTTGATGTCAAATAAATTGAATGAAATACACTATGTAAAAAAAATATCTTTTACAAAAGATCTTGAAATGTCATTAATTCTTACTCGACTAGCTTTTAATTACTTTCAACTTATTTATCTGTTGAAAAAAAACGCGTTTTTTTTATAATTTAATTCGTGTTATATGGCACTACACAACTTGCAGTCCAACTATAGCGTGTTCATTTCACTATGATCACTGCAAGTACACTTGTAGCTTAGCAAATACTGAGTGATAATAATTATCAATTGTATTTGTTTTGAGTAAGTCGAGACATCTACAGGTAGTAAGTGCCTATCTAAATTTTGGGCTAGTGACAAATTTTTTATAAATATGAATTTAAGTTTATAATGATTAATTATGATATTTTTTCACAATTACATTATTCATTAGGACATGTAAAACGAATACCGGATGTTAATTGATGTTTGATATGTATGTGCCTCTTCTCTTTCCATTCAATTTGAGAGAATAAGGAGGCGGCAAAGGATCAAAAGGAAAATAACAAAATAAGGATGATATCGATGAAAGGACTGTAATTCTTGTGTTAATATCCGCACATCGATTCAAAATCACGTGTCGTTTACAACTCGAAGTAATCCATTAAAAAAGATTACTTCCACTACTTGGCTCATCCTGAAGTCGATAATAATACGCTCAGATATCTAAAAAAAATTATTTTGCAAGAACAAGCAAGATTTACACGGCAAATTGGTCACAACCTAGTTAAATGTTCTGTTATTATGACGTGAATGTATTTTCAAATTTACACAACTGTTGTAAAATAAACTTTTCATATCGCACATGTACGTATTCATACAGATGAACAGAAAAATAATAATAAACCGTTTTCTAATAAATGATTTTGCATGTGAAGGTCATATATGACAGGAAATAGGAGTTCGGGTTGACCAAAATAATATAATAGTACAAACAACACAAAAGTTTTCTTTGAAAATTGCACATTTTATTTTTTTAATATATTTCATACGAACGACGGATCTGCTGGCCGTTCGTACGTATAGATTATTATACAAATAAGAGTATAATGACTATACGTGATATATAACTATACAATTTTAAATAATATTACATTTACACGAGGAGGGGTAACAGGTTAGCTTAATAAACAAATTAATCAAAAAACAAACAAAAATAAAAATGTACACTAATCGTCGGCCGTCATGACGAATCGTAAAATAATTTTCAGTTCGTTTTAATATTCGCGTTGATCGACCGACACCTACTTAAAAATAAATTAATAAATAAAAATTCTATAAGTTATAGCGATAATAACTACATCACAGTACAGAGAATATAATATTCTAAAATCTATTAAAGGTTTGTCGCTCAAACAACACGTCCTTCAGTACTTTTCTCCCTAATAACTACACAAACGTACACGACGGTTCCTTTAGACTAATGGCTAATTAAAATTTACACATACATAATTAAAACACAAACAAAATAATAATTTCAAAACAGTTAGTATAGTCAGTTAAAACTCATACATATAATAATAATAATAATTAAACTTATTAGGAAAACTTTTTCATCAACTTCTTTTCAAATATACGCGAGATCATTTGTATTAAAACGTTTACCGCTTTACATCAATCCTATTCAAAAGACAATATTACTCTCTAGACGGCATGAAATTTACTCAAAGCGAATAATACCGTGTTTTCTATAGTATCAACGTGTTTTATTTTTTCTTTAGAAAAATATTAAAAACTAATTGTGGGGGAAGTAGGACGCATACCGAAAATATTGTTGCTGGTGAAGTTGATGATGATGGTGATCTTGAAGAGCCATCGCGGCTGCAGCGGCCGCCGCGGCTTGATGAAGGTTGTAAGGCATCATGAGAGGAGTGGACACCGGGTAAGGTGTGGGTACGATTGCCGGGAACCGCTGCAAGATGTCGTCGTCGACGGCGGCGGACTTGCAGGGATCCGGTCCGATCAGGCTCTCGATATCGAACGGTCTCTTGCTGGCCGGCTTGGTGATGGTCATGGCCGCGGTGTCTACAGTGACCGCTACAGGTCTCATTGGCTGAGGAGGATGCGGCGACGATTGCATGACGGCGGGCGGTGGTGGACTACCGGCGGCGGACGAAGACGACGAGCATCGAGATGATGCTGAAGATCCCGGAGACATACCCGGATGGTTGCGTTGCATGTGCGCAAGATTATTGGCCAATGCTATCAGCTCGTTGTCTAATCTACAAAATAAAAATAAAAAATCGTTAGACAAATCAGTAGCTTAATTGGTTTGCGATTTATAAACAATTAATATATAAAATAGAAGCCTCCTCACCTGTCTTTGTCGGACTTGACGAGCTTGAAACGTTTACGGCGCCGAAGAAGCGATCCGTTTTCGAACATGTCCAAGGCGGCTGGATGAAGAGCCCAGTATGCGCCTTTACCGGGTCTGTCCGGCATTCGAGGAATCTTGACGAAACAGTCGTTAAATGACAAATTGTGTCTCAGCGAGTTCTGCCAACGTTGCGTGTTTCTTCTATAATAAGGGAACTGGTCGCTGATGAATTTGTAAATGTCCGACAGTGGCAACATCTTCTCCGGAGAGCTCCATATGGCCATGGCCGTTAGAGAGATGTAACTGTACGGTGGCTTTTGGTCACCATAAGATTCACGGCTCGGACGCGGCATAGTTTTTATTTTGTCGACTGTATTAAAAAAATCGAAACACTGAAATCACTGGGTTATAAGGCCTCGATCCGTAAGCGAATGCGCGCACGCACAAAAAACGATACGACGGTCTCGGTTGTGGCAAAGAGAGCAAACCCTTTTCGAGCGGACAGTTCCAACGACGACCGTAAGTTACGACGCGCAGGTTCGGACTAAACTAATGCGACGGGAACGCAGTGGCGGATCATCGTACGGAAGTGACGGGCGGGAGCCAATGACATGACGACGTAAATCGAATGGCGTGGGCGAGGCCCCAGTTCTTGACGCCGCCCAAATATCTCCCCTCTTACCGAGTTAACGGACCTTCACATTTACATTGCATACTCTACACTACGATAAATTTTTTCATCTCGCCGACACATCCATTCAAAACAAAAGTAATGATGGACCACCAAGTACACGTCTGCCCTCTGGGAAATAACAATCTGTACCTGGGGATACTTGGCACCCAAAAGACATCAGTTTTGGCTTTTATGCTTATCGAACAGAGGTCTTCGGGTAATTTGTCCGTCTACACAATGATCCGTTAATCATAATCCACTCATTACTCACAAAATAAAAATTATTTCCAGAATATTTCTTTTGGTTTCCTAATAACTAAGTATTTTTCTCTTATAATTTTGTGAGGGTATCAATTTAATATTTTAATGGAAACATATATATTTAACTAGCCTATAAAATAGTAAAGGACCTAATTAATAAGTAAATGACGGGTCGATAACAACTTTTAGATCAGTATTTTGGAAGTTACTAACATTTTTATACCAATGTAGGAGGACTGCGGCCGAGAAATATCTAATGATATAAATAATCATTTTCGCGCCTCTCCTTTAGTTTATATTTTATAATCGTCATAATTACTGAAGTATTATTTCAAAAGTTGTTATCGACCATGAAAAATACTTTATGATTGAGAAATTTGAGTAAATTGAGAAGTACATGTATCTAAAAGAAACCAAAAAACAATTGTTCCCCTAATTATTTTCATTTTATAAGAAATGAGAGTGGGTTATGATAAGCGGATCACTTTGTATACTATAAACTGGCTAAATAGACAAAGAACTAGTCGTTTCATCTCCACTGATACAATACCTTATAATAAAATATGGTACTTATTATTAGTGTTATCTGATTCTATCATTCAGTAAAACGACAACCTTTAATAATACAAATACTAATTCATTGTTAATCTTTTTAAATCAATTCCCTCCGACAACATTGCAATTGTAAACAACATGACGTATGTTATTTTCATTCCTTTTTTGTGGTGAGTATTTAAAATAGTTTTTGACACAAGTCTACAAATAAACAATTTATTATAATAATATTTTAATATAACAATTTAAAATATAATTTATTATAATAATATTTTACTAATAAATAAGTATAATGTTACAAAATTTATGTACATTAAATATATTATTTTATTTTTATTATATTCAAAAAAATAATAACTAAATAGTTGTATTTTTGTAGCTAAAAATATCAATGTCAAAACAATATTTTATTTATAAATGTTTTTGTAAGAGTAATGTAAATTCCAGAAATTTAAATACGTCCTTAAATGTTCATAATTAATATGAATAAATTGTAACAATGAGAATGGAATATTTATAAAATTGTACTAATGATATTGTTTCTTAAGGAACCACCCCCTTTGTATAGGACATTTTTTGATAAAAATACAAGTATGGTCTCCGCATCAGTGACGTATTATTTCATTACTAAATTTGCAAGATACAAATGTTGTACCAGGAGATTATGAGGTATCGTGCAACGGGCTTACAACATAAATATTTTTAACGGGCATTGGTATTTTGTAGCGAACATCAAAACCATGTACCAGGAATTTATAAGTATTAATGTGATTATAAGTCCAGATGTTGATTAAGTGTCCAGCGTCTTGTTAGCCATTTTCGAACGGCCTCAAGTACGGTTGGGTTTGTTGGACGCCAGTGGATTACTGTTGACGCATGTGGCCAACAAAATTCAATGAGAGAATGTAAACAATGATGTTTGTCGATGAATCTTATGAGTTCCTGGTACAATATTTAGCTTTTATCCGAAACTTTGTGTACAAACAGAGATAGTACAGAGATAGCGGCAAGTTTTCAAAGCGACTTTGTTTTTGAATGGACGGGGTAAATATGTATAAGTATACACAAGTAAATATGTTACTTACCGTGGCACCTGAAATCGATGGTTGATAGGAGAGGAAAGTAAACTATATTAATAGTCTAGTTAAAAATACAAGAACCTCGAAAAGGGAGAATTCGCCGGTGCTAATTGGAGGAGTAATATTAGTTAGGTAACAAATGAAACTTATAAATTAAAAAATTTAATTTATAATCTTCTGACAATGAATAAAAAACTAAATTTATAACAACTTTATATTAAGAATTTACCGATGATAATAAATTTATTTCTTACAGTAATTAATAATGATGTGCACTGGACTTAGCTGTATACACAAACTGTTAACGAATAATTTTACAGTAATTTACAAAATATTATTAATTTATATTAAGGATTTCGATTTAAATACAATAAAACACAAACAAAGCAACAGCCGTTGAATCGATAAATCTCTTATTTGTGGAAGTTTTTCTTGAACGCACTCCAATATAAATTATTTATTATTTGACGATACTAATTAGGAATCGATGATTTTCTAACAAAAACTTTAAAAGAAATTTGACACTACACTTGATTTAGTCGATTCGATGATTTTCACTTTTTTATAATATTTCATTTAGTTAAACTTAATTACTAGTTACTTTGATAATTTTTACAGAAACTTATACTACAACGTTTTATAAAAATTCGATACATAATTTCAAACATTGATTTTGTAACTAAAGCAAAAACACGTTAATTCAAAAACGTCGACATGGAAAACTTGTAGATTCATTTAAGATTTTTTTGTGTTTTTTGGACACCGACCAAGGTTTATAGATTATAATCTGTAAATAAATATATAATCATAATCTATAAACCTTGACATCAACGACGTCACACATATTCTAGTTCGATTAATAGGCCGGCACTGATATCAACAACCACATGATAATGTTAATAACTTCATATCGTTGCGATATCATTCCACCGTGTACGGCCAACCGGCTGACAGCAGTATGTTGTCAACTAGGCTGCAACAGTTTTTTATACTGTCAAATTTGATTTCCGGGTTTGTCAGATTTGTTTAGAAACTTATTTAAAGACACATTTTTATCAAACAGATTTAGAGTAAACGTCAATAACGTGATTAAAATTTTTTTATTATGTGCTTTTAACTCTTATTTAATTAGATAACAGTTGAATGGTCAACCACGACAACGCTTTGTTTCTTTCACGAATTAACTAAATGTATATAGTTGTGAATATTTGATTATTTTATACTCAATATAAGAATACTAATACAGATATTATTTTATCATTGATTATTTAAATAATTGAAAAATAAATATAACATTAAACATTTATTTAAATTTCATTTAGATACATGTTTTTCTCAATTTATAAATCATGAATTATACATAAATAATCATTTATATTTCATGAAACGTTTTACGTGTTCATCTCTTATATATTTTAATAGTGTTAATCTTAATTTTTCAAATGTTTATATTTATGGTTAATTAGCTCATAAAATAAGCTAATTAGAATAATACAACTCGATAACAACTTTTAGATAAAATTTTGGAAAGTTAAGTTATTAACAATTTTTAAAATAATGTCTTACTTAAGAAATGAGGCACGGGGTTTGCTTTTTTTTTAACTAGACATTTGATGACAGAATTATTTGAAAATGTTGAAACTATACTGTGTCAACTTTTTGTTATGATAACTGTCAGGATCCTGGCGAGAAAGATCGTTTCACTTGATTTAACCGTTAGTATAAAACTTTTAATATTTATGTTAGTTATGAACGATATTGAGTAGTTAACCATTTTAGAACGTAATGAGCTAATTTTATTTTTTGGAAAAAATAATTAGTGATACCATATTTCTATTGTGATTTGGACTAAATTAAATTAATTGATATAAGGTTGAAAGTATTAATTCAATACTATTACGAATAAAAATAAATAAATGTATTTATATTTCATAAAGTACCTACATTCTTTAATAATTTTATTTTTGTTTAATTATATGTTTCATTTTGTTATATTATAATATTGAGAACGCCTACTCCTAGAAACCATAGGCAACTTAATAATCATATCAGCATACTTAAAACCATTGGCACAATTAAGGCAATTATTTTGATTGTTACTTTAAACAAAAGTTTTATCAACAATTGGTTTTTTTTTTGCTTGTTGGCATTTTAAATTCTTTTAGATAAATATTACTAATATATACAGATGTCAACATATGTTTTTGTAATCAGTGACAATATAATTAACAATTTTTTATGTTCAACTGTATTATCCGGTTTTAAATATCTAATACTTAAAATAAAATCACCATGATTTCAGTTGCTTATAATAAATCATAGTTTATGAATAATAAACTATGAACATGTAATAAAATAACTTTTTTAAAAGTCTGCAATACTTAATATGTAGTAAAAATAAATAATAATTTGAAATTTGAATTTAAAATTTTATCTGTTTACAAAAATTACAAGATAACTCATAAAACACATTTTCTAGCAGAGGAAAATAGAATTGAGTTTTTGTGTTATTTAATTCTCAATTAACTTACGCGAGGCTTTCTGACAGATACTATCAGTGGTGTTTACATAAAAATGCCAATGGGTATATGCCATTTTAATAAAATTTATATTACTATAATTGAGTATAATAATACAGTTTTCGATAGAAAGCCTCAACTCCTAAACCGGAAATACTTATAATCTTTTTGGGTTTTCTTTTAGAAATAGTACCAGGGGTGTAGGGAAATAAGGGATTTTTTGGCCATTGCAAATTTTTTTTACTTTTCTTCAAATTTTATTTAAAATAATAGAAGTGGGAGATTAAGAGATCTCCCAATCGATAATACTTTCAACTCCGATGGGTAACATTAATTGATAATGGTTGAGAACTTTTTACATTAAAATTAAATGCCTAGAATACATTATGAATAATAATGATTTCACTATAGTTAACATGAATTAAATAATTTAAAAAAAGAATTCATATCTTCTATGCCCTCGATGTATAGTTATTTTTACGAATTATAATTTAAATATACTATTTGGCGGAAT